CGCACCTCCATCGACGAACGAACCTCTATCTTCGAAACGAACCTCTATCCTCGAACGAACCTCTATCCTCGAACGAACCTCTATCCACGAACGGAACGACACTGATACCGAACTGATACCGCTACCAGCTGATACCGCTACTAGCCAACAAACACCAATACCAAATACCACTACCCACACATACACCACCTAGACACACAGGCCTTAAACGTCCGACAAAGGGAACTAAATATACCCGTGTCGCCCAACTTCAAATCCAATTCTACCCTCTCCTACAATGACCACCACTACACCAACTGAGGCAATGCCACACCCCATCCTCACACCAATCATTGGCAAACCTGACCAGAGGAAGCTATCCCTCCTCATCTCTCAGGTTCTTGCAAACACCAGAGCTATCTCCAGTGAGGACGGTGATGGCAGATTAGGCCACGCCTACATCATTCTTGGCCAAGCAGCCTACACTGCAGCATCCCAAGGCAACGTTGCATTCGTCGTCCCGATCAAACCAGACAAACCCGTACATGCTGCCAACGCCACCCAAGCACTCATGTACCGCCACGACCAAACCTACAAAAATGAACTGGATGCATGGAAATTATACCACAAAACAGAGGCCCAGATCCTCCAGCAAATTTTGGACGCCGTTAACGATACTTACACAAAGGCCCTCAAAGATCGCATGTGGGGATACGGCAACACCAGCCCATTTGACATCATTACCCATCTAGTGACCACATACGGTAAAATCACAGAGACTGATCTCCTTGCCAATCGTGAACTCCTCACCCAGCCTTGGACTCCACCCACAGACATCGAGGAACTCTTTGATAATATCGACACCTGCATTGCTTTCTCAGTAGAAGGCGGAGATGTCATTAGTGACCGCAACGCTGTCAGCGCCGGAGTAGCCACTCTACACGCCACGGGCCTATTCATTCATCCCATCCGAGAATGGCGAACAACGTACACCAGAAAACCGCACCCTCACCCACTGTCAAAGAATTCTTTCGTGATGCCGAAAATGTCCGCCAGACCGAAACAACTGTCAGCGCCCGCAGGCACCACCAACGAGCCAACGCAACTATCACAGACACCGAAACAGTTACCACCCGGACCTCTACGCTCACCCATCCACAACTGATCGACATAGCCCTATCTACATCGTCCACAGGTACACTGAGGTCCCAAGCAGCAAAATGAACCACCACCACCACTATCCGATCGCCAAATACCGACTGCTCACTAACCAACCAACCCTCCGATCGTTGGTCTCACGGCAGCCGAACTCGATGCCATGGGATGGTGCTGGACTCACGGTTACTGCCACAACCCAGCCCACAACAGTGATACGTGCAACTTCCCAAAGGAGGGCCACAACATCCAGGCCACCGCACAAAACAAAATGGGAGGCAGCAACGAACGATACCAGCCCCGCCGCGGAAACTGATTCAGCGGGACGCCTAACAATAACAGTCAATCTAAAATAATTAGACCCACGTTCAACAAGAACAACAACGACTCGTTAGGTCCTCCCCAACCACCAATAAAAAACACCAATTACGGTGCCTTAGATAGTGCAGCCACGTCTCATTTTCTAATGTGGAATGCTAGTTGTCAAAACAAACGCCCCACTACCAATCCAATCACAGTCGTAGTAGCACAAGGAGCCACCATGACATCCACCCATGAAGGAGACATCACCATACCACACCTACCACATGCAGCATGTAGAGCTCATCTATTCAAAGAACTCAAACATGGCTCAGGATCTCTCATCTCGCTAGGACAGCTCTGTGATAGTGGATGCACAGCCACCTTTACCAACACCACGGTCAAGGTTTATTACAACGCACAATGCATTATCACGGGCTACCGAACACCCCAGACTGGCCTATGGCACATCCCTATAGACAACCCACCCGGTTTCCCACCGATAGTAGATCCAATTCAACACGCAGCTTCGGTCACCATCAAACCGACCCACAACTTTGCCAACGCAGCACACTTTGATCCCACCAAAGCCCAACAGGTAGCCTTCAGTCACGCTACAATGGGCCACCCAGCACTCTCAACGCTCCAAACTGCAGTTGACAAGCACTATATAACAGGTTTCCCACGCGTCTCAACACAAAAGCCTCCCTAAATGACCGACCCCCAATCAACGGGTAACAACTAAGATGTGTACACTAGTGGGTACCAACAACGCCAATAGGGCAACCCAAGACCAATTAACCTAACCTGCAAAGTCGACCCGATTTCTCATCTGAATTGAGCTTGCTCCCGCCACGGCGCCAGTCGCTCGGTCCAGCGGATATCGCCGTCTGACGAGGCGCTTTGGTAGTTTATAACATAAAATCCTACTAATTACTTACTAAATTTTTTAAGTGTGTTTTGGACAACGCATTGCCAAGGCGATAGTCTGGTGCGGTTCGCATCTCTCTTCTCTGTCCTCGCTCCCTCTCTCTCCTCCTCTCGAAATCCTTTGCCCTGCCTCGAACCCTATAGGACAGTTGGATCTCCTCTCTATGTTGGGCTTTCTGTTCTTTACACCGTGGATTAGGCAGCTAACGCAACGGGACAACTCCCCATTACCTCCAGCCAAGGCAATGCAGGTGGCACGGTTGGAGGGATAACCATATATTCTTCCTAATGCTATTCTGGGTGAGGTTGTCTCTTACTGATGCTCTCTGTGCATTCAAGCCCATGTACATTCAGTGGGCACCCTGGCTGCATTAGTATCTCTCTTCTCTTC